GAGAACAACAGCCAGGTCTTGAACTACAACTAGTTGCTACAATTACATCCAAGTATTAAACAGGTATGTTGAAATGAATGCAACAGCTGCGTACATGTTCCATTTCAAGCAGAAAGGTCCCAAATTGTAGTACTTTAACTTTGTTTCTATGCCACCCAAAGAAACTCTTTTGAGAATAAAAAAGTAATTTTTACTTGAACCATTTCAAATTACATCTACACTAATTACAGAATCACCTGGCAAAGTTTCACAAACCCACAAGTACATATTCTACCTATTACTGGTATCCAGCATTCAAGAGACTGTGCATCTAACACCAACTTCAACATGTTATCTGCAAATGTGTGCTTCTGCTGCTTGACAATGTATTACCATTTGCCAAAACTTCTTACAAATGCTGTCACCCCCACTTTCTACACTGTAAAGATGACAGGCAAATGCCAGCTTTACTACTTCACCTCACAAAGCAAGACAATGACATGCCTATCTGCCACATGAAGAGAGGTGATGCATTACCAACTAGGAGTTAAGTGAAATAACTGCGGAGGGGAAAAATGCTCTGCTCTGCTGTGATTAAATTAGGTGCTCCTTTCCTCCATCAACTGCAAGATTGCTCACAGGCTGTAAGTAAGGACTTCTCAAAGATAAGTAAATTATTTTCTAATAAACTTTCTATTCAGGCTAACTTGCAAAGTATAAAACATGAAAGTGATTTCAATACTTTAACACATGTCCACTTGCTGTGTTTTACCTTATTTCTGTCAGTTGTTCTATAAATATTCCACTGAACTGCTAGCAATCTGGATCCTTGTCTTTCATGAGTGAAGAGCAGCTAGGAAATCTTCTGTTCACATGGACAATTATTACACTTATTTTGAACAGAAAGCAGCACTTCTTCCTGTATGAAAACTCCTCCAGACCTGAACACCTGTACTTTCTGCTCTGCCATGGCTTCACTGCCTGTCCCTAGGTGCTACTCAAAATTCTGGTTAGATGCATGGAATTCCAGCCTACACCCAAGCCATGGCCTGAAAGGTAAATTCCCACACGATATACCGTTCAAAATGTCATAATACAAAATTCTCCTATTAATGCATTTGCAGTAAATTTTCATACTTTCATAAGTATCTCTTACATTCATGCCGGTCTGGTGACATATTATAATCAATAAGCTGTCTTCACAGACATTAAACAGCACCTTTTTTAACTTAAGATGTGTAAGCTGGTGGTAAGAAAAACTGATAAACTGTTGGGAATTCAGCTTGGAATTCCCAAGTATTATTTATATACGACTGAGATACTTGCTAATTATCACTCAAATACTAGAGAAGGGATTAAAAGGGTAGGAATGTGAACAGCAGGAAAAAGATAATAGTAAGTGATCAATAAACTACATAAAGTGTTAAGAATACTACAATCAATTACATACTTTTACAGAAGGTATTACTATGGTTTATACTTTTAATTCAGGATTTTTCTGACTCCTAGGAAAAAGCTTCAACAAGAGCTATATTGAATTGAAATTAATGAGTGCTTGTTCCCTACTGAAAAGAAACAAAAAATCAATCCCTCACATTTGCTTCAAAATATCCATTGTATCCAGCACACCACTGAACCGTCATTTATTCTCCAACAGAATTCTGCAGAAAAACAATTCCCTGACATTTTTTCTTCAATTTCATGGTTAACTGGAAAGGACTTTTCTGTTCATGGACTTTCAGAAGAAATACTATGGCTCCAAGTATTAATTAGCCAGACTGTGAGAATGGGAAAGATATATGGAAATTACATTTGTCACCCTGTTGTCTTAGGCAGCTGCAGCGTATTTCGGGATCTATAAAATGAGTTATTCCAATGCAAAGTTAAATATACAGGAACAATTCCATCTGTGGTTACAGTTATATTTAGTTACTTCAGGTCCTGATTTCCCAAGTACAGATCTTAAAAATTACTAATTGATCAAGTTTCCTGAAGCTTGAGTATTAAACAAACATCTGCAAAGAGGTTTTACAAATTAATTCATAACCATTAATCTGTTTCAAAATCCAAACAAGAAAAATAAGGTCCAAATGATTGATTTCTTTGATAAATGAGGCGAGAAAAATCAATACCTTCCAACTACAAACATTTTAACTAATAACAAGCCATCTTATTTGCGTCTATATAGTCTACTAACTAGATGTATTGCATTGACAGAAATTATGTTTAAAATAATCAAATAAGCAGACAAAAAAAAAATTTACAGCAGTTTGAAAGCAGCCTGCCTCCTTTGTGTTTCACAGTATTCTTAGCTTTGGACAGATATGTCTTCCAGAACAAAATAGTGCCAGCAATTTCTCAAATTAGCTTTTGAGTATATGCCAAATAGCTCAAAAGAAACATTTAGAAAACAAGGTCTACCTGATTTTGCTAATTTTTAAATCAAAAGTGTTGATAATTATATTTACTGAAGGAAAAAAACTTACACTCTCATCTTTCTCTATACATGCGTTTGGGGTGGTGGTGATGCTGGGTTTTCTTTTTAATTTTTATTGGGCAGGGGCGAAGTTTCTGGATTTTTGTTGAGCAAAACACCAAGCAGTCAGTACAGATGTTGAGGGGTTTAATTCATAATTAATTTGTGACACTTTCCCCCCACCCAAATCACTTATACTAGCACCACATGACAACTTAACACAGAGAAAATAAACAGGGAATTTTATGTTAGTGAGCACATCTGGATTCTACACTCTCAATGTGCTGCAACAGCCTCTGAGCACAAAACTCCATCTGCCTTTTAATCCTCCTAAGGAAGTGAAGACACGGGATCAGCACTGCCAGTTTTGCTCCCAGTAGAGCTCAGACATACATATGTATCATTTTATGTTTGGGTATTTTTATAATTTGAAATCTTATATACTTCAAAATATGATAGTGTAATAATTTATATCAAAAAGCTCTTTCAACAACAACTGTTCACAGCACTGAAATATGAATACAAGACAACACTTTAAATCCATAAATGAAAAAGCCAATATTCCACTGAAACTGGTTTTTAAACAAAAACCAAAAACAGGAAAAGAAACCCAAAACCCAAGCACACATGAAGTTTCTAAGCAAGCAATAAGGAATGCAATTTTGTGATTCACAACATACACCTCTACTAACAGGATGCACTGTCACATATTAATATAGCATTTAAGCATAAAACTCTATAATTGTTCCCATAAAGACTTAAATCTGTTTTAACAAATGCCTTCAAGTTTGCATTTTCTAGTACCATCAGCATTTAAAATTGACTATAGTTTTGAAGCTGCCAATCAGAATACCAACAATGCAGGCTGTGCCCTGAAACCTGTCTGGAAACACACTCATCCTCATCCTTAAAAGAGCTTCTAGAGAAGTTGATTGTGGTGTGAAAGACAGCAATATTATTCCAATATCAGTAATGGAAGTAATCTGAAGTATTTTTTCAGAGGTATTTAAGGTATAGTTCTTATTCAATGTCCAGGGTTATATTTCAAAGTGTCAGGAGTGCACTGTCAGGCAGTCCATCCCTCACTTTGTAATTAAATGGCCCAACAGTCAGGTCTTTATTTAGGAATAATGCTTATGAAATACCGTGCTTATAGAAAGAGCTTCATAAATTTTGAGGCTGTAACTAAAAGAAGAAACACAAGAATAAAAAATTACGCCAACTAACTTTCTTTTTCAACTTAATGATACTAAGTTGTTTTAACCAAGAGCTGTGTTTGTAGAACCAAATTAGACAAAGAAGAATTCCACCCACACCTGTGTGTGTGTTCTGGCTTCTTTACAGTGAGATAACTAAGCACAAAGATAGCTAGGCTCAGTCTGCAGGAAACTTTGGATCTGCCACATCACATAGAGCCTAAAAGCAAAAACAGCTTGGAAATGATTGGAACTCAGACTGGAAATTATCATAAAAATCAGGTCTGTAAAGTAATTGCGTGGAAAGTATAAACGTGGAAAGGACAAAGAGCAATGGTGTGGCACAGAGCCACAGAAAGAAATCACATGCAATGCAGAAGTGCAAAGACAAAAACAAAGTGAAGACGCAAACAGAGATGTTGGGTGCAGTAAGAATAGCTTCAGTGTTTAAACACAATGTTTATTTAAGCCTCGGCAATCTTGAGTGAATACACATGCAACAAATACTAAAATCACATCACTGTTACCATCAAAATGATCCTATACACGCTCCAGAAATAGTCTCTATTCTTGTCCTAGGGGTTCAATGTAAAATCCATTATAAGTGATAGCTGTGCTGAAGGAAGGTGATAAGCAAAATCATTCAGAAAACGAGGCAGGACCCACTGCTATCACCTGTTCCTGAGAGCAGGAATGCAGCGAAAGGGGAAGCTGAACTGAACAAAGCAACTCCACTCCAGGCAGACTCCTGGAGCAGCTCCTACCGCATATTAAAGCTGTCATTTTAAACCGGAGCGACCGCCTGGCTCCAGGCTGGCCACGGCCCTCGTTTTGTGTCTCGCCCGTGTTTTGACGGGCCCCTTCCTCTCCGGGGACCCGGAGCCGCCGAGCGCCGGCTGCGTTTGCGGGGGGCTCCGGGCGGGCTCCCAGCGCGACCCCGCACACGGCCCGAGCGCTGCGGGTCCCGGGGGAGAGCGGGGCGCTCCGGCCTCTCTCCGCTGGCCTCGGCTGCGGAGGGCAGGGAGCACCCACAGCGCAGAACTCACCAGCTGCCCGGCGGCGGCGGCGGCGCCTCCTCTCCTTCCGCCATAGCGGTTGACGTGCCCGCCCGCCCGGCCGTAAAGCGCGCTCGGGAGGCGTTTCCAGCCCGCGGCCGCTCCGCCCGGAGCCCGGCCCCTTCCCGCCGCTGTCCCCGCCTTCCCGGCCGCTGTCCCCCGCCTTCCCGCCGCTCTCCCCGCCTTCCCGGCCGCTGTCCCCCGCCTCCCCGCTGCCGTCCCCGCCTCCCGCAGGCCGGGCTGAGGGCGCAGGCCGCAAAGCGCGGAGGCCCGGCAGGAGCAGCCGCTGAGGGAGTGGCCGCGCGCGGCCCTGCAGTAGGGTAGGGGGGCCGCTCTGCCGGAGATCGGAATGTTTTCGGTTTTCAGAAAGCTTCACTGCTCTGCCAGATGTGGGTTTGATTTCCAAGTGACTTCCCAACAATGTTTAATGTGCCACAGGTCGGACGTACTCCGCGAGTACGGAAATTCAGAAGTTTCACGCAGTTTCCAAGGGCTGAAAATCGCTTGGTGACGTCCATTAGCAGGCCTGGGCAGAACAACACTAATGATCTCTGTCATGCACGTTCCTTGCCCAGCTGCATCCTCAAAAGGGAAAAATAGGATACTCCAATGGAAGTTGAGAAAAAAATCATTTGAGCGGTTTGTACGCGGAATAACAGTGCCGCCTTAGGAGAAATGCCAGTCCTTAGGCGGGTCTGTTTCAGTGCCACGGCTCGGCTCGGGATGCGCAGCAGCGGGCCGAGAGCGGGCCGGTCCTGCGGGCAGGTGCGGGACAGGCGCGCTGACCCGAGGGCCGGGAACGCCCGTTCCGAGGCAACGCGGGCACCTGGCTGCTCCTCAGAAAAGACTGCGTGAGCTACCCCGACCAGGAAAATAGGTATTTTACAGTATGAAATCGGGTTGAGGCGATTAAGCGAATGCTGTGAAGAAGGGGGTAATTGTTTTAATTACTTTTCTCTTTCTCTCGCTTCTATTTTTTCCACTAGAAAAAAAAAACAACCCAGAATTCCGCAGCACGCATTCACAGGTGTTTCTCTTTCAGAAGACGCTGTATCAGAGCGGTGCCAGCCGGGGCAGCGCCGCCCCGCAGCACGCATTCACAGGTGTTTCTCTTTCAGAAGACGCTATATCAGACGCGGTGCCAGCCGGGGCAGCGCCGCCCCGCAGCGGGCACGCCCGGCCGCGCAGTGCGCAGGCGCGGCGGCGGCAGCATGGGCGACACGCTGGAGGAGCCGTGGTGGGACAGCGAGCCCGGCGCGGGCGGCACGCCAGGTACTCCCCTCCCTCCCCACGCCGCGATGGAAGCACTCTGCCTGAGACACAGCCCCCCACCCTTCTTTCCTGCCCCCCCTTCCTTTACGTTGGATCTTGGGGGTTTTTTCCACTTCGCCTCTCCGCCTTTCCTTTCTCTGCTTTTAATTTGCTTCTCCAGGTTTTGCGCTCTCGCTCGCTTTTCCCCCAGTGTTTGCTTTTCCCCCTGTGTCTGCTTTTCCCTGCTTGCTACCGAGGGCGGGTTTGCTTGTAAGCAGGATCTCTGCAGCGAGGTGATGCCCAGTCTCTGATCTGGGCCCTGGGACAGACGATGGAGCGGCAAATGAAAATACCAGTACCAGGTAACAACAAGAACCCACTTAACAAAAATACATTTACGCGAAGTTTGAAAAGCGGGTCGAGGAGAATGGGAAAACCTCTTGCTTTGAATTCAGAGCTCAGCTCTCCCTTGCATACCTTCTAAACTGTATTTTCTCCCCAAGAGTATATTTGATGAAAGGCTTTTGCATAATGGATGATCCTTGTGGGTCCCTTCCACCTCCGACTGTCCTGTGATTCTGTTTGCCATTACCAGAATGAACTTACTTGCAGTTCTCTAAGGCCTAGGAAAAGGCAAATCCACGGCAGAGCCTTGGAGGGAAAAGTATCTGTGGTACTTGAAAAGCATCCCCTGTGTGCTCACTGGGTGTGTCGCATCACCCTTGCCGTGTGTTACTGTAAAAGGGCAGGAGTTCAAGTTCTCTCCAGCAACTGCTCCTTGGAGAGTGGTGCTGTGACTGATTTGTCTTTTCTTTCCTGTCGGTTATGATACCTGGCTCATACACTTGTATTTTTCCAATGTGTCTCGAAACCACAAGCTGTTAAACGTTTTCTCTGTAATACTTGCATTTAGGGTGAAAATTTTGGTAGATCTAGGCAACTAAAATGACTGTAGACTTTATAGTGCCCTATTTTATTGATTATTTTTATAATTTCTTTTTTAATACAGTATTGGCAAGAGTTGGGCATTACTGGGAATTATCTGCACCTTTGCAAAAACTCCAATTTTTTGAGTGTCTTGATAATTGGTGCTTATTTCCTGTGAAAAGGTACTTGGAGAATAGTTAGAGAGGAAGCACTATATAAGTTGTATGTGGACTAAAGACGGCTCACAAGACCTAATTAGGTTTCTGAGCATTTAATTTTTATTTTTAGTCTCCTGTGGGTTCCTTGAGCAGTCCAGTTCCCATGGTAAATGCTTTTCATTAGGCTTCTTAAGAGCCTACCTGCACATTCTGCCACCACAGCTTTCATTTGGGGTGCATGGTTAGCTACTGTTATAGTGTTGTCAGCTTTCCTTTAGAAACTGGATGCAGAGCAGGATTGTGATTATAAACTTTTGACGAGAGGGATGAACCATCTGACTTTGAGGTGAGACTGTGAATGGCAACTTTTCCAGTTATGAAAAACTCCTTGGGATTTTCACAATAGCAGTTTTGAGTTACTAAAAGTATTCACGTGGAAAATAACCTCTGGAGGTGCCTAAGCCAATCCTGTATACTTTACACAAAGAACATTCTTTGTGTTATGAGTAGTGATTACTAGTAGGTGAATGTTGTGCAAACCAGGTACTCTGCTGTCTGCAGCCCACCTTTGTAAACTTGTTGGCAAGCTCTTTTATGGAGCCTGTTGTTGGATGAAGTTAACATGAACTAGCAGTAAACATAAAACATCTGTTACTTTTATTTCTGTAGCTATTTTTCACATAAAACAGGTAAAATCAAGGGTTAATTTGTACAGCATCTTATTGATACTGTAAAATGCTTTAAAATTAGTTGGCATAAAAGAGGAAATCAGGGTTCACAATGTATGATGTAGGCAGCTATACAAGAAAATAATTGCACATTAGTGAGCACCTTTGAAAGACTTGGTCAATTTAATTTCTGTGGAACATGAAGTTTTGTTAAAAAAATACTATCCAACCTCATTTGCTGACCTATTTAAAAATAACATCTCTGCCATAAGTGCAGGTGCAAAGCAGAATTCAAATGTGCTTTTGGAATAATGATCTTTTTTGCCTTTAAGATCATTTAAAATTAACCTTAGAATAAGCTCTGGCCCATAGAATATTCATCAGAATTCAGCTCTCAAAAGTGTTTTAGATTTTAGCCACTTGTAGTTAGAACAGGCTACTTTTAAAATGAGCGTGAACATCATTCATACACTCCACCTAAAGAGTATGAAAACACAAAAAATATATATATATTTTTTTTTTTTTTTCCTAGTGTATGAATATGTAACTCTGAATTTGCTTTTGGCCATATCATTAGAAATCATTATTTTGGAGTCCATATTAAAAATTAAAGGTAATTACTCTCACCTTAAGATGTGAATGTTTACCCTGTTGCAAGTCATTTATAGGTGTAAAAAAAGCCCACAAAAAATACCCCTCTTTGTATCTTGTCACATGACAAAAACTAAAGAATCCTACTTAATAATCTTCAGCAAACCTTTGAGATGAGATTTGTAGAGGGAGCTCTTGGGGATTATTCACTTAGCAGCGTAGTTTAATGTTACACATGTCCCACGTCATGCAACTGCAGGACTTTCTTACCTTTCTTTTTTCCAGTTTGTGTCACAACTCTGTCCAGTTTTTCATGAGATTTTGATATTGCGTTCACAGTTGCAAGGGAAAGGATAAGGAATTCGGAGGAGTTTATTTTGTACTGGTGAAGGACACCAACTTTCTCCTCTTCCCTCTGTGAACAGAAAGGAGCAATTCTCACAGCACTGTAAATGTCTGCATCTTGCTTGTAGGCAGCGTGCCTCATCTCCCAGTCAGTTTGAGGGAGAGGGATGGACTTCTATTTTTCACAAATTCTTCCAGTTTCCTCCTTGTTAGTTACCACTCCTTGCCTTTCATTCTCCATGCTTTCTGTATTGCCCTTATTCCTGTAGGAGTGTACTATCCTCATTTGTCAGTTTTAGAGCCTTAAGCAGGATCTACCTATGAGGGCATGGCCCTCATAGATAGAAATTAATTGTGTCATTGCAATATAGGAGCAAAACTCTTGTAGGTCAGCAGCAAAAATAGGTGAGAAGTGTGATATGGGACTGCAGAGGATGAGTTGGCAGTGCTTGTGGGGTCCTGTGTAGGCTCTAAAGCAAAGGATGCTATTGCAGGAATTCTTTTGCAGGAATTCTTTCTCTTTTCTTTCTTCGTAGTGAAGGGTGCAAGTTCACATCAATTAGTAATGTGTGATTTGCAGCTGTTAAGAAGCAGACCCTTCATTGTAGTGCATTCAGTGGGAGCACTGTTGCTTGATCAGAACTGAGGTGTGTTGCTGGACTCTGTGTGAAGAGGTTTGTATCTCTTTTTTTTTTTGTCTTGTCAGAGACTTGCTGTTCCTTGTAATAGAACTTGGTCAGTATTGAAGGTCTTTCTGATAAGCATGCCAAGTTGATGGCTGCTTTTTGAAATCTGTGTTTCTTCACATCAATGTACATTCATTCTGCAGGTTGCAGTGGTGTACTTCTGTGAGCTGTGTTGGGATCTGAGCACACATGATATGGACTCTGAGAAATTGATAGCTGCAGGTTTAGTGAATAAAACGGGAAGCCTTTTCTTTTTACTGTGGCAAAGTCATTCTTTAATGTCTGCATATTAGCACAGGTGTGTCTTGTAGGACACAACTGAAGTACTTTTTCAATAGACTGGTCTTCTAAAACTTTTAAGTACTTCTAGAGAATTTCTTGTGATGCTGTTGTGGAAGGCATAGGTTTCTTGTGGGTTTGCAAAAACAGTCACACAACAGTGCTAATGTGTTTTACTGTCTCAGTGGTTGAATTAAACTTTTAGCTGTGAAATGAAAGGGAAAAATCGGGTAACTGAATGCTTCAGAGTCTCTCCTTGCTTCAGCAAAAGGATTGCAGTTCTGGCTATGGCACTGTGATCACCACCAGCTTTTGCTTTATTTAGGAATTAAGATTTGGCAGTTCTTAAAGAAACACCTATGTGTAAGGAGTTTTCCCACGTATTATCAGTTGAGCCATTGAGACTGTTGGAATGCACTCTGTTAGGGGAAGAAGAATGAGGGAAACATTAATACCAGAGAAATAAATTAATTTTTATATTTTAAAGCAGTAGTTAGTGATAGTTGGTATTACAGGATTCTTGTGTGGGGGTTCCTTGGTGTAGTTGTAATATTTTGTTAGTCTTTCTTAACGTTCTAGAGAACAGTGAGAAATTTTCTTGCAGGGCAGCAATTGCTGTTTTTCAGAAAATAAGAAACAACAAGCATGGAGTCTCTTCCAATGTTTTAGTTTCTGGTTTTTGTTTGAGGTTTTTGTGTGTGTGTGTTGGCTGAAGGGAAGCCTTGAATTTTAAGTCTTCAAAAGAAATTATGCTTTAAGAAAAGCAAAAAGGCAAATTCTCTCATGGACGAACTAAACTAGAATTTCATGTGCAAAGAGTTCATTTAAAAAAAAAAGCCTTCACTAGGAGCAATTAATCTAGTTACATATTTTAAGTGAATGTGAGGAGTTGAAAGGAAGGGCAAAATTGTGGAGAAATGCAAGAATCAAGTTGCACTTCTGTGTAAGCCACAACTTACTGTTAAGTTTGATACTAATTTTGATCAGTTCTAAGTACTGTTTAAGTGAACTGAAGTCTAAGTACTGCAGTCCAAATGGTGAAAATTTACATAGCTGACGCAAACAATATCTATCGTGATTCTTGCATCTGTTTTCCTAATACAACATCTGCATGAATTGGAGTGGAGATAATCACACTAGTTAACTCCTTGAGGAAGGAGTTGCTTATCTTCACATCATGATTTTGGAGTGATGCTTGGCACAGCAAGGAGCTCTGCATTTCTCTAAATTCAATGTGATATACTAGAGCAGATTTTTCCATGCTTTACTTCATTCCACCCTTAATGTTGAACTGAGGATATCCATACTGAGACACTTCTTGGCTAGACCAGCTTTGAAAACATGACACCTTCTGCAACCCTCTTTGT